TGGACTCCAAGTTAAAGACCTCTGATCTAACTACTCTCTGATACTAGGCTGTCTGACAAACAATTATACCTTCTCTTAACACTAGATTTGTTTTCTGTATAACAGCCGGTAGAAAAGCAGTTAATATGGAATTTAAGAGCTTGGGCTCTGGAAACAAGCAGACCTGGGTACAAATCTTGCTTCTGCCACTTAATAGCTACATGATCTTGGTCAAGTTGTTTGACCTTCCTGAGTCTCAGTTTCGTCATCTATAAAATTGGGGTGATAATAGCACTGACCTCATAGGGTTGTAATTAAGATTAAATAAAATAATACATGTAAAATGTATACATAGCACAATGTATACTATGTGCTAGCACAGTTGTGTTGAATATGTTAATTTTTTATTATAATTACAAAATGGAATTACTTTTCCTTCCTAGATATTTCCAAGAATTTGAGGATAGTTACAGTTGTTTGTCTTACCTACTTCAGGATCTATCTAATTAGCTGGCTGAGTAGTTAAAGCTCTGAGTACTTTAATCTCAATAACCATGTTCATTGGTTAGCTCCATGGTCAAGTATTCGATACCCACCCCTAAACCTCAATCTAATGGTTAAGACTCAATAGCCTCATTTTTAGCAGAAATGTAGTATTCTGTGAATCTTGAGTGGCCAACCAGAGCAGTATGTTTGCAGTTTGAAAGACACTGAAATGTATCTGCAGATGCAAAGGACTTGTCATATAGAAGACATTCAATAAATGTTTGTTGTTTGAGTGACTGAATTCTGTTACAATAGTAAAATTATCTTAAAGAATCAACTTTGTTGAGTGTTTGTAAGTTAGATTATATTTTTGAGACTTTCCTCCTTAATATTTTATTAGAGTGACTGTTCTGGAACTAGTTGCTAGGATTGGAAACTTCTCTGCCTCATTTACTAGCTGTGTAACCATGGGCAAGTTACCTCACCTCTCCATGTCTCAGCTTCCTCCCTTATAAAATGGGCATAATAGTAGGGTTAGAGTGTGGAGGAAGTGAGTTGATATAAGAGAAGTGCCTAGAACAGTGCCCAACAATATGTTCAAAAAAATCTTAGCAATGTTATTATTATCATTACTATTACTACTACTACAGCTGCTGCTGCTCATCAAGGTTCCCTCAGTACAAGGGTGATTCTATTTGTTGTACCTTTCCCTAAACTAAAGTTCAGCTAAAACCTCTTTAATTTAAAATCTGAATAACACACTTTGTCTTGCATGTAATGTAACCCTAAATTTTCAAGACTCTATTCTCTTGAGTAGACTAAACGTTGTGAAATTTTATTCTTCCATTTTTGTTTTTGGAGGCACAAGTAAAAATGGATTTATTTTGACTGAATGTGAAAATAATAATCATCAATATGGATGCAGCATTTTCTCTCTGCTCATTTTGTACTCATCCTTTTCCAGTTCCAAATATCATTTACATGGCCCTGGTGATGTTGAGTATGGATATTGCAGAGGAGTGATGGCTTCCCTTTCGTATTGAAGTCGAAGCTTCAAAGAGAAGATTGAAGAAGTGTTTGTTATCTATCTGCACAGGCCTGATATGAAATTCTCAGAGGCTTTTAGGATAAACACAACTCTGTGTGTGTGTTTGTATGCTTTTTCTTCTATATACTTCTATTGTGGTCTTTGTATTTTGGTTTAAAATTTCTAGTTTCAGACTTGTTGGAGTCTCTGGCTAAGGGATAATTGTTTTCAGAGTGAAGGATGAGAATTAGAAGATGTTGGCAGGATTTGACTAAATGCCTCCTAAAGTGTGTAGAATTCTCTAGTGTGGAATCATCTTTCCAGAGAATATGATGAAGACCATCCATAGGATATGTTTCACAAGACAAGATCAAGACCTTAATGTGTCCAGCAGAGAATAATCCATGGCGCCCTCCAGTGAGGGGTGAGATCGTTCACCTTTTGGCCTTTCCTTTTAGCAGCGTCCTCGGTGAGCTGTGGGATAGAGAGGGGTGTGTGTGTGTGTGTGTGTGTGTGTGTGTGTGTGTGTGTGTGTTAACAGACTTTCTTTAGGGTTGTTACATAATTAATATCTAGAATAAAAAGAGAGGGGAAATAGGTAGGGCAGCAGGATAGTTTTCTACCTTCTGAAAAAGAAGGGAACTAACATTCCACTTCATGACATTCCACGTCAAGTCCTACATGTGATTTTTATTAACCGAAATATTTAGTTACGGTATCATCAAGAATAAAGCAGATTCGGGCCGGCCCCGTGGCTTGGCGGTTAAGTGCTTGCGCTCTGCTGCTGGTGGCCCGGGTTCGGATCCCGGGTGCGCACCGAGGCGCCGCTTCTCCGGCCATGCTGAGGCCGAGTCCCACGTACAGCAACTAGAAGGATGTGCAGCTATGACATACAACTATCTACTGGGGCTTTGGGGGGAAATAAAATAAATAAATAAAATCTTTAAAAAAAAAAAAAAGAATAAAGCAGATTCTCCTATTTAACATCAACCAGATAGGCCTGCTACTTTATTTGCTGCTGTTAAATTGAATTCTTTTGCTGTAATCAGCCATCTTAAGATACAGCTACTGTTGGCAGAGGCAATACTCTTAGTACGTGTATATGAACTTAGTATGTATATAAGATCTTCTTAATTAACAAGGGAAAGCAGGACCCGGGGGCACTTTACGGTAGGTAGAGAAGGGAACTGAAAATATGTGTGTGAGTTGGCCTGAGGATTGTGGGGGAGAGAGGACAAAAGAAGAGGCTGAGATCGTCAATAACATATTTTACCTGTTTAACAATTTGCCAAGAGTTGGCCTTTTAACTGCCACTGCACGGCTAGGTTTTTTCTGGGTCAGTAAATGAGAACAGCATTGGTTAGCAAAGTTCCTGCTGTTGCCACCATTAACATTTTGGAAAGAGGACTGCACACAAACACACATATATATACACACTTGCACATGCTTGCACCCTAATTTCTGTTTATATTGATCCAGAGGTTGGGTAATGACTGGAATCGAGGGCTAAGGCAGTGCCTCAAGAGAAGATGGAAAATTGTTCACCCCATTGATGATTTGCTTGATTAGCTGTGTTTTACAGAGAGGAGTTTTGTGGAAAACTCTTCTCAGTGGTCAGGTGCAGTGGGAAGCTGCACTGTCTGCTAGGCAGAGACTGACCGGTCATACTAATGCATACGACTTGTTGAAGTTACAGCCAGTTCCATACACCCTTACTTCAACATGGACGCGCTTCTCCCCAACTGTTGCAGCTTTACATATTCCTTCCTCCTCTTATTCCCTGTCCCCTTTTCCACTGCAGATGTCAAAGCTGCCTCAGCTTTCCCTGCCCTCTAACCCAGGTATCTTACATTCCCTTCACCTGATTGCCAGCCCAGAACTGTTCTGGGAAAGGAAAGGAACAAGAAAAGTAACGTTTTTTCTCCACCTTCCCTGCCTCATTTCTGATAATTTCCCACAAATTCATCTCTGATTTTGGCAACATACTCCCGACTGATCTCCTTCCTCTCCGTTTTCTGAGTTTTTATCTTATAAAGAAATAACCTAGATGGATGTGTTAACTAACCTTATTATGGTAATCATTTTGCAAGATATTCATGTATCAAATCATTGCACTGTAAACCTTAAACTTACACAACGTTATACGTCAATTATATCTCAATAAAGCTAAAAAAAGACCATCAAATAATAATAAAAAAAAAGAAATAACCTAGATACTCACTGGGCTGATGTTCCTCCCTAAAGAAGTCACACCTTATTTCAGTCATGTATATGCTGGAAGACACCATGATCACCTATGTATTGCCTTTTTCTTAATCTTTTTTGGGTTATGGATCCTTTTAAGAATTTGATAAAAACTGGACTCTCTCCCCAGAAAAAAAAATTGTTCATATTTACATATACTCTCCTGAGAGGTGAAGATGAGGATAGAAAAATATTCATTCTGTTTAGTGGTGTGGAGGTCACTATGTCCAAAGCAAGAATTAATGTGTGGTGACTGTAAGCAAGATTGGAATATGTCAAGGATGAGTGGGAGGTGAGGAAATAAAGAGAGAAACTATAGACACACTTTTGAAAATTTCACTGTGATGAGACAGCAGATGGAGGGATATGAAGGGAGTCAGGGAGAGTTTGCTTTATTTTTATGTGAGCATAAATGCTGATGGAAGGGGCCAAGTTGAGAGGAAGAGGTTGAATATATACAAGAGAAAATCGATATGGAGTAATATAAGGTTCCTGTGAAGGCAGGAGGAAATGGAATCCAAAGTACAATAGACTTTTGTGGGTAGCCACCATATACAACATTGTTTCTTTGGGGGTGTGGGGGATGCAATTTAGATTCCAAATAAGTGACTTACAAATGATCCTTTGCACCACTGCCATTTCATTAGTTTTAAGACTTAAAGGGGTTTCGGTTTTGCCAACCATTTCCCAAAATAAAAGAGGAGATGGGATATTGCAGTGGACTCCAAGAGCCCCAGTCTTGGCACAGATGCTAGAATGTTAGATGACCTTGAGTCAATTGTTCATGCTTGACCTGTAAAATTAAGAATTTAGGCCTAGAAGTATTTGAGGATGTGTTGGAGGGGGCGATGTTTTGGTTGTCATAACAACTGGGGGTGCCACTGTTATTTGGTGCCCAGGACCAGTGATGCTGATTGTCCTGTAATACATAGGACAGGTTGTCATAACAAAGAATTATCCTCCTCAAAGCCTGTGGAGCTCCTGATGAGAAACCTGGACCATGGCTGGGTAACCTCTTAGGATCTTTCCAGTAATATAGTCAAAATTATCTGAGGTGTTATAGTAAGTTAAATGCTGCTTTCAAGCCCTTGAGAATCTTTCAGATCTCAGGGACAACCCTTTGTTTTCTCAAAGTGGGGAGTGGCTTTGGCTAGTTATTAACTATTTAACAAGCTTTTCGGACTGGGTGCTACAGCTACCATAGGCCAACCAAGATCGAGAAATACAAGTTTGCCTTATCTCTATTCTTTTCCTTGTATTTCAGGTACAACTGGGATTTTCAGCCCCCAGGTGAGTACTCTTTGACCATTTATGGTTTTACATTAAAAATGTGTAGGTGGTATTGTTTACTTGTGTCTCTTTTAAATAAGCTTCTCAACAGAGTGGCATTAGCCATTCCTAAGGAAAGTTAGTGGAGTGTTTAATTAACCTTCACCCTGCTGAGCCCCCTACTCTGCTTTTTAGCAGTAGGAGGCTCTGATGCTTCTGCTTTCTGAGTGGATTGGTGCTAGATTATTTTATAGAACCAAAGCTATATTATGCTTTTATTCCTTGAGCTTTGTTAGATGCCGGCAGAATCCACTAGCATTCAAATAAAATGGTGGCCGAGTCCATAATAAAAACCTTGGGAGGGGTCCAATTCAGCTAATCCTTCAACGGCACCCGAAATAAATTCCCGTATGTTACCTCCTCGATCACAGCGCTCTTCTACACAGCCTGTCTGTCTGGCAGCAGAGAAATGTCAGGAATGGAGCCGTGTTGAAATTCCCACTAGAACAGTGTTATCACATTTTAATATGAGCCTCACTGCAGCCTTGGTGCCTCTAATTGCTTTCAAACCATTGTTTTCCTGCTTTTGCTTGATGAACCCAGCATCTGGCCTGATTCTAAAAAGTATAACAGACAGCTGTGTGCAAAATTAAAAAAAAAAAGATAGGATTAGAACACATTTTAAAAAGGTTCAGAATTGGAATATTTTTTCTGAATTTAAACAGTTTGAGGGTGTGTCTTTCAAGTATATGCATTCTTTCTTTTTAGTACTCTGGTTCAGAATGTCAGAGACATCATTCTGAATGTTAATTATCTTATTATAAATGGGGGATTTTTATTTTCTCAGAGAATCACAGGGAGTTTTAGATCAAACTTGCAACTAGCTATATGAACTATTTTGCTCTATAACTTTTTTTAACCAGTTGTAAACTTTTCCAATACTCTTTGTTCTTAATGTTGTCAATATATCCAGTCTCAATGATAATACCTTAAAGAAATTCAGATTGTGAGTGACGATACTAGTTTTATTAAAATTCTAGTTTTCCTAGCTTGTACTTTATTATAGTGTATTTCAAGTCTATATAAGGTTTTCTTTAAAAGCCAACTTTAGGGCCGGCCCCGTGGCTTAGCGGTTAAGTGCGTGCGCTCCGCTGCTGGCGGCCCGGGTTCGGATCCCGGGCGCGCACCAACACACTGCTTCTCTGGCCATGCTGAGGCCGCGTCCCACATACAGCAACTAGAAGGATGTGCAGCTATGACATACAACTATGTACTGGGGCTTTGGGGGAAAAATAAATAAATAAAATCTTTTAAAAGCCAACTTTAAGAAATAGAATCTTATATTTTTAAAGCTTTTTGACTCGTAAGTTAAAGTCGTAGTATTTATAATATTTTAAATAATATGATGTGATTTTACTGTGTATATCACTGTCCTAAAGCATTTATGGCTAAAAATATAGATTGAGAATAGAGAATTACATGTAATAATGTAGCATTTGCTTTGCAAAATTTGAAATACACTATTCAGGGAATGGCCCTATAGTTTAGGGTTTAACAGATGTTAACCAAAATCCACAGGGGGCCAAACATGAATGTGAACTGGCAGAAATGAATGGAACTGTGAGGGTAGAATTAATTACCTAAAGGAGAAATAAAGAATTAGTGTCAGAAATGTGGTATAGTAATGTGTTGAGAAGAGAAAATAATCTCTTTTGGAGCTTAACACAAGAGATTATATGGGGCTAGAAAGACAAAGGGCACATCTTACCAGATTCTTGTAATATAGCACTGCAGTCACCTTCCAGCATAGGGCCACTTCTACACAGCCTGTCTCTCTTAGAGAGAGGGCAGAGATAGAACAGCCCAAGGGGACAATTGAAAAGAGTTTATTTAGAACAGAAAACTGTATTTGCTTCTTGACAATGGTTGAAGATACGTAGCAAAGTTTTTGCTCATTTAGAAGTAAATGTGAGGAAAGATCAAGTAGAAAAACCCAGGGGCCGGCCCCGTGGCTTAGCAGTTAAGTGTGTGCACTCCAATACTGGCGGCCCGGGTTCAGATCCCTAGCACACACCGACACACTGCTTGTCGGGCCATGCTGAGGCGGCGTCCCACATACAGCAACTAGAAGGATGTGCGACTATAACATACAACTATCTAATGGGGCCTTGGGGAAAAAAAAAGGAGGAGGATTGGTAATAGATTTTAGCTCAGGGCCAGTCTTCTTCAGCAAAAAGAGGAGGATTGGCATGGATGTTAGCTCAGGGCTGATCTTCCTCACCAAAAAAAAAAAAAAAAAGTAGAAAAACTCATACTTTTGTGTCTTGTCCCCAGCCTTGCTCCTCTCCTAAAACATATCTTTGGGGAGGAAGAGGGAGGAGTATCTTTTACTTTACCCTTTTGATCAGATCTTAGTTCATTGTGTGCTTCAGAAACTGGTAGACTGGGTGGGAGCAATAACAGGTCTATATAAGATTCTACAGGACAGTTTAGGATTATGAAAAGAATAGGAACATGTAAGAAAGAGAACAGCTAGCAGAAGAATTTTTAAAGCCCTGGAAGATGAGGTCGTATTGGGAGGGGAGTGAGAAAGGACAGACATGATAACCCCAAACTTTCCTAGCTTTTTTATCTATGACATGATCCTCTGTGCAGGAAGATGATGGGAAGAATTTTATTAACTCTGTGCATTTGCCTAAATACACTTGTGTTCTTCAGGATATTTGGACTAAACCCGAGTCTGGTGACTGGAAGGAAAATAGTCCTTAATTATAAGAGGTCCCTTATTTATAAATCCCGTTAGTAGCACATATTTACACATCTGGTTATGGTGAAGTCTGTGGTGAGTCGGTACGGTGTGCTGAAAGAGTAACCTTTAAAGAAAGATGCTGGGGAGAGTGGCCTGCCCAGATATAGAGAAGGATTGCAAGCAAAGTTTTTTTGTTGATCATTCCAGTGAGTCCCAGGCTTAACATGGTGGAGGAGTGACCATTGGATAGTATTCGGGAGAGTCTTGTCCCTATTCTGGGGAAGAAACATGGCATAGTAGAAAGAGCATGGATGTCGAGGCTTGAGAGACCTGGGTTCAAATCCCACCTATACCATTTAGCTAAAGGTCATGTGACCTTAGCAAGTTACTTAATTTCTCTGAACCTTGGCTTCCTTATCTGTAAAATGGGGATATGCCAGAAACTATGCTGAGTCCTTTACAGGTATTATTATTTAACCATCAGAACAGCCCTATGAAATAGGTACTGTTAATATACCCATTTGGCAGATTTGGGTACTAAGGCACAGAGAGGTTAAGAGAATTGCTGAAAGTCATGCCCCTCAAGGCTTCTAACTTGGTTAATCTGACTCTGCAGCATACCCCCCTTTTTTCAATAACAGCTTTATTGATATATAATTCACATATCATAAAATTCACCCTTTTAAAGTATACAAGTCGGTGGTTTTTAGTGTAGTCACTGAGTAGTGTAACCATCACCACTATCTAATTTCAGCACATTTTCATCACCCTAATAAGAAACCCCGTACTCATTAGTAGTTCCAGCACCCATACTCTTCATCAATATATTTTATTGTCTCATGGCAGAGTTGTTATGAGGACTAGTAGTCATATGGATAAGCCCTAACATGGTACCTAGACATAGTAACAGTAAGAAAATGTAGTTTAAATTTATGACAGTATTAATGGTAATTCTTTCCCTCACATTTCCACCCAAATTTTGTTATTGGTCCACTGTCAACTGCCTGAATGATGTTCATTAAAAGAGAATGAAACATAGGGAAAATAAAACATAATCCAAATAATTTATTACTTTAATGTAGAAGGGGAACATAAATGAAAAAGCTTTTTTAATGAGTTCAGATATGATTGGAGAACGTGGGAAAGCCTTTTTATTTTTATTTTTTAATAAGACAGATTCCTTTGATAATTCAAGTCCTGCTTACTTGAAGAACTTTTTTCTACTTAAATTTTCACTTAAAGTTACAAAGAAAATTCATTGGAATCTTTGCCATGGAACTCTTGCCATTTCAGTAGTCAGACAGCTAAAAGATGATATTGGTCAGATGTCTAATCAACAATATTAGTTTTGCCCTTTAGATATGAAGACAACATTAATTTATGGTGTTGAGCAAACATTTACTTCATTTTGTTTAGTTTCCCCTTTTATAAAATGAGTTCATTATTGACAGTTATAGTTTAATCAAAATTTCAATGATACGGTATAATGTACATAATTCAAAATTTATTGCTTTAAAAGCATTTTATGAATATTAGAAAAACTGCCCACCATGGACTGAGAGTCTAAAACAAATGACAAAATATTTAAATAAAAATTTAAGAAAGACTATGGGAATATTGTAAATATATATGTAACAAAATCATATATTTTTTTGTCCAATGGTCTCTTGCAGTACATTTGTGATACTGGTAAATATGGGCCAGTGAAATTTCTTGCCAGCTCGAAGATTATTTGAGTATCTACCATTAGTAGTATAGAGGGTTTCTGAAAAAATTATTCAGCCTGTTTCAATATAAAAATTTTCCACTGTGTGAATCTTAAAAATCTTATTTTGAAATGGCAAGCCTATGTCCCTTGTCAAAGTAAATTGATCCCTAAAAATATAGCTTGTCAAAAGCACATAGTGCAAACCGAATAAAGAAAATGTTATTATAAAGCTACCTTAACTATAGGGGCCAGCCGGTGGCGCAAGCAGTTAAGTGCACGTGCTCTGCTGCGGCGGCCCCGGGGTTCGCCGGTTCGGATCCCGGGCGCGCACCAACGCACTGCTTGTCAAGCCATGCTGTGGCGGCGTCCCATATAAAGTGGAGGAAGATGGGCACAGATGTTAGCCCAGGGCCAGTCTTCCTTAGCCAAAAGAGGAGGATTGGCAGATGTTAGCTCAGGGCCTATCTTCTTCAAAAAAAAAAAAAAAAAGCTACCTTAACTATAGATTAAAAGAGATTTAAAAGGCATATCAACTAATGTGTGGACCTTATTTGCATCCTGAGT